CAGCAGTAAAAAGTATAAATACGACAGTGTAGAAAAATAAATATAAATAAAGTACTTAAAGTTAAAGTACTAATTAAGTAAGATACGACTTTATTGATCTCACATTCACTCAGGCACAGCAGCTCAAAGAACGACACAACAGATAAACACATTAAATAAATATAACAGAAATATAACAATAAGATAGATAGATAGATAGATAGATAGATAGATAGATAGATAGATAGATAGATCATCTTATCAACAATTCTTTTATTGGGAGAAATGCTGGAAAATGGTGGTTTAGTTCTGGAAAGTAATTTTAAAATCATGAGGAAAGATTAAAGAACAATATTTCTGTTCTGTTATTATGTTCTAAATTACTTTTCTCTGTTTTCTTTGATGCTTCAAGCCTCTAAAAATCCTTTAAATGAAACTATTTGAGAAGAAAAACTGGATCAAAAGCAGATTTAGTTTCATTTTAAAGCAAACACCCTCGTTGTGAAGCACTGCTCTGGTGTTAGGTAATCCTTTTATTATGATTTGTTTAGGATCAAATTCCCAGAAATATAACAGAGTAAATGATCTGTGTCCTCAGTGACTCTATCTTTCTACCAAACCTCAGGCTGTTTTCTGCAGATTTTTTCTGCTTCAGTTCTTTGATTCGTCTCGGAGGATTTCCTCACAACAAACACATGACGGAGGACGTGAGTGCAGAGCAGGTAGAAGGTTTCAGCCAAAAACAGCCTCAGGAGCTTTGTCAGAGCTTAATTTACCCCTCGAGTGTCACATCAACACTGATCCACATCTGAATCACAACTTATATCCACCCTCAGGTCCACAGACACTGAAACCATTACAGATTTAGATAATTAGACAATTGTTTAAGGGGCTAATTGTGCAGAATCAGGTTTACAGAGCGCTGCAGGAATAAGTCCTAAAACATGGAAGTTAGTTCACATTTCACCGCCTCTGATTTCTTTTTCTTAATTTAGTTTTTGGTTAAATGGTTGAAATAAAGTCTGTGGTTAACATAAGTTTAAGAGATCTAACCAGCTTGTTATCTTTAACCAATAAGTAGGAAAAAAGGCTGTTTTGCTTTGAAAAAGTTAATTTAGCTTGTGTGTGAAACACATTAAATCTGGAGATATTTTACATTTTAATGCTGAAACATTAAATATTATAGCTTGAAGTAAATGTTTAGTCTGTAAAATGTCAGAAAATAGTGAAAAATATTTATCAAATGGTGTCTTAAAATGTCAAAAACGCAATAACATTCAGCTTACTGCGATATAACAGTATAATAATTAATCTGTAGAAGCTATTTATGAGTTATTTTACGTAGTATTTATTTAGAAGGTTGATTATTTTCTTCGTCTTTTGTTATTGTTTTGATGTGAGACACCCCTAGTGGCAGAAATTACATAAACCGACCTGGTGGCACATAAATAATAACTATATAGAAATATCTTCTCTCTGATGGTCGTGTTTGTTTATGTAGGTCACACAGAGGCATCAGTGTTACATTGAGACGGTTTCATAACAAGTTTAAAATTCCTTGTCGTACGTTTAAATAAAGAACAAAAACAATAAAACACAGATGAATCCACTGATTGAGTTTTTTTATGTTGAAACTTGTCTTTAAATATAAAAATAGGCTCACAACAGATTCTCAGAGAGACGTCTGGAGGGTTTATTTTATTTTCTTCCTCCCACATTCCTCACTGCAACTTCCAAAACACAGCAACCCTGGTGTTTCCCGTTTCCACGGTAACCACTTACTGCAGCTCGTGTCACTACGGTAACAGCAGGAGATGGGGGGGGGTTAAAACCATAAGCTTGTTTTAACTGCTGTGGTGAAATCTCAATCTCAATCTCAAACGTTCATAACATTAAAACTGTCAGTGTTTGTCAGTGTAAACCAGAATCCAACTTTTAATTAGATGAGAGGAAAAAGAAATACATCTTCATACATACATTAACACATCTGACTCCACAGAAAAAACAAACCAAATGGTTAAATATCCGTCTCAGACATATTTTAATACGTATTATATGAAATATTATAATCTGAAGAAGTTTCTGGAAGGTGACACTCTGTTGTATTGGTGTATTTGTTGTACTTTGATTATCCGTCTCCGTCCTTCGGTCGGCAGCTGTCCCTTCCTGGCGTCCAACCTGACTCCGGCCATCCCAGCGATCGGCGGCGTCCTCTTCATCTTCGTGATGGGGATGCTGTTCAGGGCGAGTTTCACCGACCCCGGCGTTCTGCCGCGAGCCACGCCGGACGAGGCGGCTGACCTGGAGAGGCAAATCGGTAATCATGGAAACATATACACACACATACTGTTTTACATTTACATTTAAAGTTACCCCTTTGTTTGTTTTTAATTTTTGATTTCAATTCAGTTCTGTTTCAGTGAGTTTAGTTTTTATTGTTTGAAATTGTTTAGTTTTAGTTTTTTAAACACAATAATATGGATGGTTGTTTGTTGTTAGATTTAAGACGTTCAGAATTGGTGTTACAATACAAACACAGTCATATATCACATTATTGTGCTTGTGTTGACAAATTTGACCAAACTGACTAAAACTAAAGAAATTTCCTGTATAATTTTATTTTTTTATTTTAGTTTCATGAGGAAACAGTATTGTTTTAAGGGACTTCCTGGTCAAGTAAAGATTAAATAAAAATGATAATAGTTTTTATTCTTATTTCAATTAACTAAAATGTTTTGTCATTTTAGTTTTTAATTTTAGATATAATAACCTTAATAACTTTGGTCCAGACTTGTTCTCAACACATTTAATCCAAATAAATGTATTTATAAAACACATTTAAAAAACAACCCTCGTTGACCAAAGTGCTGCACAGACCAGAGCAGGTAGAGGAAACCTAATTAAGAGAAACACCATTAAAAACCAATACTGACATTAAGAAAAAAATCAGTTTATGTTATATACAGATAAATAAAACAATCAACCACATCAGGAGGATTCAAACACTGGACAATAAAACATTTTTGAGGGAGTTGATGGAGATCTGATCACATGTCTGTGGAGGTTTTGTTCTTTGTAAGAAACTGCTGCTCACTAATGATACTGAGTCATTACAGGAAGTCAGTCACCACCTCCTCGAGTCAGCGTGTGTTCAGTCACGTTATCTCTTCAGCTTCAGACCTTCGCTGTCAGAAACGCGTCTCGGCGAACGAAGATCTGTGATCTATTTTCAGAAACCTCTTATTATTTTTTTCTTGTTTGCTTATTTATTTATTTATATCTTTTCAATGCGGATGCAGAATCTGCAGAGCGGACTGAGCCGTCAATCACAAACAGAGCCGGCAGCTAGGAGGACGACCAAATATGGGCGAAGAAGCTGGATGTTAAACACACTCCAGCTGCATTGTGGCACATTTGGAGGATGGATGGAAATAGAGGACAGCTGTTTTTTTTCAATGTTTTGTTTGTTTTCAGGAATTTATTCTGTGACGCACAGAAACAACATCCTCACTTCCTGTCTGACAAACAAACCTTAAAGACAAAATCACCCAACATTTAAGAAATTAGAGACATTAAAGCTGTATTTTTTATAAACAATAGATGTTAATGTTAAAGTTTCTCTCT